ATATTTTGCATGCAAAATTATAAAAATTTCTAGTGTATAAAAGTATTTTTAATCTTAAAATCAAAATTACTTTGCATGTTGGATAGTCAAAATTCGAAAAGAAAAAATGCACGAGAAAACATTACTTAAGAAATCTTAAAACCTAATAAAAAAAAATATGATATTTTGTGTACGAAAGCCTTGTAATGTTTACTGGTAATTTGCAAAATTTCATGAAGATACGCTTACTAATTAAAAAGTTATAGCATGAAAACTATAACAAGCACAAAATGGTTATGAGGTCGGTCCCTGGGACTAAGCCCATGCTGAGAGAGTTAATTACACTTCTTACTTTTAATGCCTTGACTTCAGTTTACTATAAATTTTTTATTTCTTGTCTTTTAATTTTTAATTTGACACTGTATTCCATATTTACATAATTGTTTTATACAGTACAACAGAATCAGACCTTCTAATCACTCTACTTTCCAAGGTCTTTGTTCAACTACACAAAATATTCAGGTTTATAAATAGAACAAATATTACTTTGTTTTGTTCTTCTTTCACTAATAACTGAACAAATTTCCACTTCATTAAATTACTTATATTAGTATTTGTTTGTACTATTAGTTTTTGTATTCACTTCTGCTTATATTTCATTATTTAGAAACTCAATTTATTGGTGTAATAATTTAGGTACCTAAATATACCTTTTACTTTTTGATAAGTTCTTGGGAATTAATTTTATAGCTTCCTACTTCCCATCCCTTGTTTCATAACAGGTTTTAAAACTTCTCTGTAAGTGTAAATACATACAATAAATTTATTTTTTGCTTTACTTCCTGTATCTTCCTGTTGCTAACTCTGTAGCGAAACACCAATTCATTGGAAGCCATTTATCTCTGCTATCAAACTAATTAACTCTCACAGTCAGGTCTGAGAAATCAGCTTTCACCTGACACCTGCCATTATTTGGGAGGCTTTTTTGCTTATACTGGTACTATGCATTTCTAGGAAACTGTCAGATTATTAGTATAGTTCAACATATAAGCTGCTGCTCTTTTATTTATGATTTTGTCTTTTTATTATTTCAGTTTTTTTTTCTTGGATGCATACTGTTGGCTGCAAAAGCAAACTTTTATAAGCTAGTTTCAATATGACTAGTTATGATGCTTAAAATATGAATATTGCTATTTTATTATTATTAGTTTTTACACATGATGATTATACTGTAGTACATGAATTCCTAAACTGACTGAACCAATAAATATTGTGAGATGTTACTACAAATGAACTCAACTGATAATTCAATGCATTCTAATCACTATGTGTTTTAATTCTATTATGTTTTGATTTATGACATTAAGACTTCTGGTCAGTATGTTTCAAAGAAATTACTTCATTAGTTTTGTTACTTTTCATGACTGATCTATATCAACGTATGTTATTAATATATATTTTACATTCATTTGCCTCCATATGCTGTTCAACATTAATCATTTCAAATCAGAAATAAAGAAAAATCAATGGGACAAGAGGCCAATCTCTTGAGGTCACTATTCCATCTACTGAACAAAATTATCAAAATCAAATTTAAATGAAGTCCTTCACAAATATTAAAATTTCAAAGAAATATTTAAAATACCTTAAACTAACAACACACCAAAACTTGTTTGACAAACCATTCTACAACTTGCAACTCTTAACAGAGAAGTATTTTGCCAAAAATCTATATATAACTACCAATGCTAAAACTTATTACTCCCAATTTCAAAATCCTACATTACACCATTCACTTGGACTACTTACAAAATTAACTACAGCTTGAACTTTCTTCATCAACTGATTGTCAGTTATTTCAGAAAAAGACAACTGAAAACTGCTTTGACTGAAATCAAAAGGTTGCTCTAATGTGCATATTTTACTTCCATCATAACATTTTAACATGCATTAACCTCATTATCAAAACAAACTTCCTCTACCCCTACCACTTTCTCCCTTAGAAGCTTTAAAAAAGGCTTAGTCTAGATACTCAGGAAAGAAAACTAGGAGGTAACAAGTTAGTTCCTTTTCCATCAGCAGCAGCCTTCAAGCTGCTATAAACAGGACAATACCTTCCAAAAGGTTCTAAAGTTAACATTTTCCTTACCTTAAAATGCATTTCTGATAAATATTCATTCACACAGTTATCTTCCCTGTGCATCTGTCTAGATATTTGCATTTTACTAGCCTTTAGACAACTCCTATTTAATCTCACAAGATTTCTCATTAACTGCCCTACTACAAAATTACATTATTATGCAGCAAAGCCCTCCACCAATAAGAGGGTGACACACTTCCTTGCACACTTAAGTTACTATATGCTTTTGCACTCATGAATCTTCATTCTTTGACAAGACAAGGAATGTATGTGTAGAGGTGAGTATAAAAATACAGTTTTAGGTAAGAAAAATTTTAGCTTTGAAGACAATACACACCTCTATACACAGTTAAGCTAGGATCCCATGTTGAAGTGGAAACACTGCACAGATTTACCCAGATGAATTCCCTTCAGTAAGTGCCCAAAAGAAACCTATGGAGTATGACACCTGATGGCAGGGGCTCCATAGGGGCACACCTGTGGGAGACTGCAACTCATCTCTTCTAGGGTATACTCTTCACCCAGAATAAAGTGAGGAAGAGGCAAATGAGTCCCATGTGTCACAGGGATGAGCATAATAATAGCATGGCCATCTGAATACTTGCACACAAGAGACCAAACAGCCAATATGTGTAGCATGGTTGAAGCATGTTTAGATCATACCTTGTGTTCATCTCAACTCTACCTTCAGACTATCTTATTGCTACCAGCTGCAGAAGGAGGGCATAGAATACAACTAACCTCAAATGAACAGACATCAGCTGCAGGAGGACAATGTGGTTTGTTAGTGTGTGCTTGCCTTAATTCAACTGAACAGGAGATCACTTTAGGATGAGGGTAATAATGTATATTGGGCTAATCTCAACTTTACTGAATAGATATCAGCTACAGAAGGAGGGCAGAGTTTATTAGTGCATGCTCACCTCATACAAATGCACGGGTGATGTCCACAGGAGGAGGGCACGTGTTTATAGTGTACTCACCTTGACTCTACTGAACAGATAAGACAATAGGAGGAGGGGCACAGTATAGTGGTGCATGCTAACCTCTATTCTACTGAACAGTCACTAGTAGCATGTTATAGCCATATGACGGGTGACTTGCACTACACTGACAGTGTCACTACTGCCCCACTTCCCACCATTTGGCACCCCTTGTTTTAGCCCTAGCAGTTAGATCCCAATCAGTGAGGATTTTCCACGGTCCACCACCCTAGCAGCAAGGAAATGGCAAGTGTCTCCCATGCTCCAGTTGGAAGACCTGGAGAAAATTTCTGGATCCCCATCAGTCCTTCAGCCAGAAAGATATATTACTGGAGATAGTGCATAGGCTGACCTCATATCCCTAATTTGAAAAATCAGCAAGCATGAGTCAGGGAAGCAGGCAGAGCACCCTTTTGTGCTGGCTTTTACCTTGGTAGTCCATGGAAAGGTACGATTAGGATTGGACAGTAATCAGACAGGCACAGGTAAGAGCTCACAGGACAACATTGAGGTCCAAGTCAGGTATGAGAACAGAGAGAGGAGGCCCTTAGATAATAAAGGACCAGAACAATGTGTTGAGAATTGGGGAGGAAAACATCTTGCGGTATTGATAAATGTGAAATGATGTTGATGAGGCCATCCAATAACTGGCAATGGTGAAGACAGATAATGCACTGTTGAACAGCCAGGTAAAAAAAAAAGAGAGGTGAACAATGGTAAGATGGTCAGGAGGAAGGTGATGATAGATGGACCAGTTTTGCAAGATACGCCACTTACACGGGTAGATGGATGAAGTAGAAGGATTACAGGAACAAGAAAGAAAAAAGGCAACCCAATTGGAAAGTCTAGTTCAACTGCAATGAACCAGACAAATCCCAAATGTGAAGGGGAAGGGACAAGATACTTTGATGGAACAGTGATGTGTGAGGTTGAAACAAGATAGAGAGAGAGAGTAGTTGGCATCAGAACAGAGGTCAGGTTGTCAGGTGGCATAGAAGAGTGAACCAAGGTTAAGTCAGCCAAAGGTGTACCACCAAGTGAATACAATAAGGTATGTCTCAACTCAAGGCCAGGACCTAAGGTAAAAGATAAATAGGGGAGTAAGCATAATGAAAAAGATGAGACCAGTCATAGCTGAAAGCATCAACAGCTAGAGCCAAGGGATGGGGAACAGGAGGCCAGAAGAGAAGAAGCTTGGAAATGAGAGGGGTAGCAAAAGCATCAACAAATGGATTCTCCTAGAAAGAGCACACCCAATGGAAAATCTAGGGGTGAAGAGACCATTCCCTGAAAAGAGCAAAGTCCAGCCAAGAGAGGCAGTCTGCAACCAAGTTCATAGCACCTGGTAACTGGCAGACAATGAGACAAACATGTTGAGAATTGGCCCAATACTGAAGGTCCAGGATTTGAAAGCAAAGGGTCCTGAATCAGGTCCCCCCCCCCTAGCAGTTGATATAGGAAATATCATAGAGTTGTCAGAATGGATCATAACAAAATAATTCACTAGGAGGGGTAGGAAATGGGAGCATGTCTGATGGACTACCAGAGGCTTGAGTGCATCGATATGGAGAAAGGAATCGTCCTGGGTCCATGTACCAGATATGAAACTGTTGTTCAGATATGATTCCCAGTCAGATGGGAAAGCATCAGTAAAGAGGTGCAGATCTGGTTTGGGTAGAGGTAATAGAACACCAATGGTTATATTGAGTGTCTAATTAAATAAAAACAACATTTTGGTGTTATAAGGTCATTCATTTCTAGTATTAAGGTTGCTAAATGTTTTTTATGTTTTGAGATCTAAAATGAATTTTTCCCCAAAGGCATCGTTATGTCACATTTACTTTATTATTTATATCATAAGAATATAAACCTGATAGGTTAGGATAATCAAGGCTTACCTCACATTTGTGAAACTGTTTGTCTTCACATATCCCTTTCCTACAAGTTGATCCCTCTTCCAATCTTAAGATGTGAATTAATTGCGACAGAGAATTATTATTTTGTTCAATTGCAATTTAAAAATTAAATTAGACTTAGGCCTAAAATTTGTAAAATTAATTATACAAACATTGGAGGCCTATTATCTCAACCAATCAGAGACCCACATGGTGAATATACAACTAATTAGCTCACAATGAACTTTTGGTGTGCCAAAAAGTGACACCAGAGGGCAGTGTGATGGAATTTTAACTTAGCACAGAAATGCAATATTCTCACTGTTTCAGTGATTATCTTACAATCTAAATAAGCTTTCACTAAAGACATCGCAGTATTTTAACATTTAAATGCAGTTCCTAAAAGCTTCATTTTTCCTGATAGCTAATGACCTGCTAAATGTGGTGCTTTAAAAGTGGCACATAATGAAATTTACCATGAGCTTATTTCCAAAACAACTTATTTACCCTTGCATTCCAAATTAGTTTTATGTATAAGAGTGTGATGCTGACTCATATTAAAGTAAAATATTAATACAGATTCTATTTTTAATGCATATTCTGGGATATTAACCAAGTGCAGAAACAAAATAATTTCTGTGTTCAAGAATGATTATTTTGTATTCTTCAACTATTCTAATACTGAAGTATTACTCTCTTCTACAACATTATTCACTTTTTCTGAAACCCCTCACATCAGTAGAAATCTGAGATCAGAAATATCACAAAAGGATATTTAATATAGGATCCTTCTACAGGATATTTTTCTGTTATTTATCTCTGAACTGAACGCATATACACCTTCTTTCATAATGACACAGGAAAAAGAAGGGAAAACATGATTTTTGTATGTAGAAAGTTTAAATCACACAAAAAGTTATAGACATTGGTAGATTCTTTTAGTAAATGAATTTTACAATTTTTGAAATAAGAGTGCAAAAAAATTACTATGGAAATTTAAGCCTCACTTCATTTACTATGAAATTACACATTCCTGTATTCAAAAAGAAATCAACAACAAATCACTGAGAAACACTGTAAGTATGCTTATGATGTCATACTTTTCAATCAATCATGTGTATTTCCCAGTTGCCTTCCTTGTACCTGTTCCTAGAAACAGCCTTAAATTATATTCATGCATGTAACATAAGCACTAGTGAACAATATTTCACTGTATACTTTTATGCATGAAATTGTAGAACCACAATGTAGAAAAACAAATCAATAAAAAACAGCACACAGTGATGGATAGTACCAGTCAGCATTAGGTCAAATTTAGTATTAATTTAATACTTTTACTTTGATATAATTATCTTACGTATTTTTCCAAGAGTTTTCTTAGAAATCCAACACTGTTTACTGGTTTTTTACTGATTTTTTCTGACATTGTGGTTCTTCAACTTCATGCATAGAAGTCTACAGTAAAAGTCTTTGGCTATAAAAATATTGTCAACTAGAGCTTATTGTCCACACAACATCATGCAAAGTTACACATATGAATGTGATTTCAACCATGTGGAACATAACCCATGAATGGCTACTCATGAAAGTATTGTCAATCAGAAGCAGCATTTTATATACAACTCCTTGTTCATCAAAAACAACAAAAAGCTGTCAATTATTTGACTTGGCAGGTTTATAGTGATTGTTTTTGTGAAAAATCTTTGGCATAGGCCAGGTACATAATGAAAGTTAGTATCTTACTTAATTTGTATCAAGTAGTATTTTACTTTCAAAGCACAAATTTTACATGGTACATTCCTAATCCTGGCTTATATGAATTCCAATTTTGTTAAGAACTAAAAATTATTTTAAAACATCTCTGCTGATGGTGGCATTTCTCAAGATAATTCCATTTAATTACAGTATATTTCAAATTGTTTAGAGAGAAATGATGTAATAACCATCCAAATGTTAGTCTTAATAAAATTGTTAGGTCTTACTTTTAACATATACATTACAGATGTACCTCATTATCTTACAAAATACTTCAAATTTACAGTTGAAAGATTATATAAACCCTGTGTGAGGATATACTGCACATACTCATATGGTGCTGTAAAATTAAATGTATTATAATAATAATATTAAATTATTCTATTATTCTATATACATACATGTACATGAAATGATAGAAATGTATAATTGAATATATTCTGATTAGTGAAACTTATCTTGTAGTAGCTAATTTTCGAATTTAGGGTGTAGTAAGTATGAAAATATTTAATATTATTGCACAAGTAATTCATCAACACAGAAAGAAAGAAACAATGCCATATATTCATGCATATCCATCAAAACTACTTAACTGAATTTCAAATGATTTATTAAATCATATGGTACATTTACATGTTCAAATATTAAAGACCACATGGTATAATACTTAGCCTACCCAAATGTCTACTTAAGACATTTTCTGCTGCTTGAGTAAAACTTCCATACTGGTACTAAAGTTAAGGAAATCTTAAATGGGAAAACAATTCTTCATACTTCGGGACTTGTACAACACAACATTTTTAGGATTTTGTATATACATATATATAAAATAAGTTATTGTTAAGATAGAAAGACAAGAAAATAAAGTATCAATAACTACATACATTATTCATACCTATAATTAATACAACTTACATAGGTACATTATCAGTTTTATAATAAAATCACTGTACAAAATATGTGTATTACATTTGCAGCTAAATGAAACAAAAAAGACTGTCAGTTAGAAATAAATATGTCAAAATCTAAAGTAACAAAGAAATGTAAAACAAAACTTATCGGACTAAATAACCATTAACACCATCACATCACTATTAAGTGTTTAAACATAAAACATGTCACCAAACAGTAAAATCACAGTATTACAGCTGTGTTACAGTCACCTAACAATAGTAATATGAGACCTATGTACTAACAAAAGCAACACCATGAGAGAATACACACACATGATATATACACATGTATGTTTATATACAAGAATAATACCTTAAGTGGAGTCTTTGTAAGGTTTAGGTGATTAAAGAACAAGTTATGCTCCGAAACAACAAACAGCCTAACAAAATTTTTGCTCTGTGTGTGTGAGTGTGTGCACATAAAACAAAAAATTACAGGAAACAAGCCTACTTCTATTTTTCTGATTATAAACAAACTCCCAAGTTTCACTTTATCACTTTCAGCTTTCTGCTAAGAACCTCACGAGTTGTAACACCACCACTAGTAACAATGAGTAACACTGTAACAGCAACATACACCCCCAAACGGGCCTAAACAAGATGAAATGAAGTATTCATTACTCAAATTTTACGTTAGGCTTAACTCTAGTGTCCACTAATTCAACTCGATCACTAACTCACTAAGAATATACTGCGTAATACAAACACTACTGCTCAAGCCTGTACATCTTATTTAAACTTTAATTTGAATCGATCAAAATATAACGTAGAACCGAAAGAAACACGAATTTATCTTGAACGCAAAATCTTAATAGAAATTCAAGCTTAAAAGGCTTAGACTTATAGTGACTGGAGTTAAGTCTAACTTCTGGTTCTAAGAATAACTTCAAATTTAAATCAAATATTCACTAATAAAGTTACCAATATTTTTATCTGACATACTGAAACTATCATTATCTCATATTATTAAATGTACTATTTGAGGAAAGTACAATAAAAACAACGACAAATAATCTCATTTGTTAATAATAAACACTTACCAAATACACCAACTCTCACCACCTCCATTAGTCGCCATATTTACATTGCTATAGTCATCAGTACCAGTGAAAAAACATTGGCTAACACAATTCGACCATTCTTAGCTTTAGCGACACCTACTCCAAGTGTTAGAGTTCAGTGTCATAAAATCGATTTTTTTAGCACAACATGTACTGCATGTTCTG